AGTTCTAGTCTCGGAATTGTTTGTCTCTCGATTGGTGCGACTCGTGTCTTCGCTGCTAAGAACTTTACTCTGATGCCAATTGTGGTAATCATGACCAGGTAGGTTACTGCGGCGTACGCCGCCTTCGAGGCATCACCAAATCCATGGACAATGCAGGAGATAACTGGGTCGTCGACCTCTCGAAAATAGCATCGAGAAAGCCGAATGCGATTCATTTGTTTTAGTTCATTAACTAGATTGTCCCATTTTACTTTAAGATCATGGGGTACTTCATCGTCCCAATTCAACTTTCTCCGCACAGTTCTTGGAATAACATCTTGAATTGAACTGTTATTGGCGACATGAAGCCAATCGGATCATAGAACTTTGCAGAAAGACGGACGATATTTCGCTTTGTTGGGGAACACTCGGATGCCAATTCGGTCACATGACTAAGATCAAACACAAGATCATCTTCAACAAAATTCCACGCTACCCCGAGAACCTTGTGCTCTTCATTAGAGGATTCATTGGATGTTCCTAGCGTAATCTTCGAGTACGTTTCATCTTCATTTACGCAATCGTTTGGCGGTTCGTCCACTTGAGGGTTAGGCTTCAAATTAGTTCTAGGAAGAGGGTTCTCTTCACTTTTGATCTTCGTCAACAGTTCGGGCGAGTTGGTAACAAACTTCCGAAGGTTAAATCCACCTTCTGCCAATCTAAGCTTTGATTTCTTGTAAAGAGTGTAGGCAGATTTGTCATCATCCCCACCCGAGTTTAGATCATCTACATAAACAGCTCGCATGAAGGCTTCGACAAAGGCAGGATCTTGAGCGCGGTACTGTTCGATATGGTGACTGATAGTCGCATTCAGTAAGAACGGGCTGGATGATACTCCGAATACTACACGCGCAAATCTCAAGACAATAATCTTAGGTTGGTCACTCCAAACATCATCGAACCAAAGAAACCGTAGAACATTACGATCAGCTTCTGAAACTGCTATCATCAAAAAAGCCTTCTCTATATCACCCGCTAGTGCTACTTTGTGGCTTCGAAAACGAAGAATAATGTCCATGATGTTATGGGTCATTGCGGGCCCAGTATAGAGGCATTCATTCAAGGACGGACCAGATGTTTTGGCGGATGCATCATACACAATTCTTAGCTTGGTTGTCTCTTTATCTCGCCTGATCACAGCGTGATGAGGAATATAGTGAACTTTTCCGAGCTCTCCAATATCTTCTTTCTCAACAATCTCGACAACGCCCTTGGTAAGTTGATCCTTTATTACTGCATCATACTCCTTTAAGACTTCGGGATCACGTTTCAAGCGCTCGAGTAGACTCCACAGTCGTTTACGACTCATTTCATAGTTGTCAGGCAGTAAAGGATGGTGCTCTTTCCATGGCAACTCAACGTGATATCTTCCCGCCTTGAAACCTATGGTACTTGTGAATTCTTCAACAACCGACTTCTCTTCCTTTGATATACCGAGGGACTCCAAATCCCAGAATCGTCTCAGTTGTTGGTCATCTTCGTGGTGCATTGGTTGGGATGGTGGGGTTTCAAGCTGCAAAACATGAGTGGATGACATGTTTACAGATGCTTCCAATCTCTGTTGTGAATGGTTCTCGACTGGTCCGGACAGGACCCATCCAAGGTTGGTGTTGATAGCTGTCGGACCATTTGTTCCCTTTCGAATCTCTCCTGTCACTATGTCCCAATACTGATCACAACCGATAAGTATGTCCACTTCCGAGTCAAGTTCTCCCATTGAATCATCAGCTAATACTAGGTCATGTAAGTGAGGGTAATTGTGGCGGGATTGTGAGACAAGTTGGTATTGCAGTGGTTCACATATGGTGGGCACAACGAAGGCTGACAAGGACAACTGTACCTTATCAGTGTGACTTTCTAGAATAAAATTAACTGAATCACAGGTGGTTAGATTTTCTTCTCCAGAACCGAAAGTTTTTATTGACATTGTTTCAGTTCGCTCAGTGGGTAGGCTTAGTGAATCTTGTGTCCGACTGGTGATGTAGGACCTCTGGCTTCCGCCATTTAGGATAACTCTCACGTTCCCACTCTTACCATTTCTACTCACAGGAAGGATTGTTGCCTTTGCAGTTTGAAGAAGTATTGGGGTCTTGGTACTTGTAAACAATGATTTTGTGCCACTATTCCCTGATTGATTTGATCTACTGGGTTTGTTGCTTGAGATTTTGCTCTCAGAGGTTTGTTCATGCTGTTGTTGCTTAAGCTCTGTATCGGATGGGGTATTCTGGGCATGGTTATGACCGCTATTCTTGGTGCATATACTTATGTGGTGTTTACCATTGCATTTATGACATCTTGACTTAGAGTTGCAATCACGACTTAAATGATTTTTTCTCAAGCAGAGAAAACACCGTCCACTTCGCTTTATAATGTCAATTCGTGCTGAGATGTTAGAGACATTGGTGCAACTATTTGAGGTATGTGACTGCTGACAGTAGGTGCATGTCGGTGATGTACCCCCTGTCTGCAAGGTTGAAATTGAGGGTTGTGGTTTGGAAAATTTCTTTGTTTGGTAATGGGGCCAAGTCTCCCTGTTGGTATTTGCAGTTGCTCTTTCTCGGGCCTCTAGCTCCTTCTCAATCAACTCAAGCAAGTGCCCCAATTCCCAAACATCTCCTTGTACTTCTCGACTCACTATTATGCACAATTCCTGAGGTAACTTATTGAGTAACATTGAGCATAATAGATTGCCATATGTTTCTGCCTGTACCCCAAGTGATTTCAAAGCTCTGATATGAGATTCTACAGTGTCATAAAGTGTTCTCAGTCCCTTTAAGTTATGTGGAGAAGTAACTGGCTCTAGATTTAACAGAATATCCATGTGTTTATTGATTGCAAGCTGTTTGTTACCAAACCGCTTCTTCAATATTTTGATGGCTTCTTCATAATTTAGAGTGGTTAAGGTTAATCCTGCAATTGCATCTGCTGCTGTTCCTTCCACAAGTGACGAGAGGTAATTAAATTTATCAATACTTGATAGTGTGGGATTGTTGTGAATTGACGACTCAAAAGTATCCCAGAATGTCGCCCAAGATGTGGGATCTCCCCGAAATGCCCTAAGATTTAACTTTGGCAACTTTACTGTGGGTATTTTGGTGTAATTATTCATGAAATTTGAAGGGTCAGCTTGTATACTGTTGTCACCATGGTTACTGGCAGTTTCTGAATTATTCCCTGTTATGGATGTAGTGGGTTGCGTAGGGGTAACTGGGGTTATGACATTGTTTTCAGTATTCAATTGTGTAGTAGTTGATTTCTCATATTCATCTAAAGCCATTTGTACTTCAATAATAACAGACTCGATTTTCTCTCGTGAAATATCCCCTTGCTCAATCTCTAACTCTATGTCCTCTACACTTACCAGCGCCAAAATAGCTTCATCTTGCTCTCGGGGTGATTTCAACTTCGCTTCGAGTGTTGACTTTTGTTGTTTTAACTTCGCAATATGCGGAGTTAACTGCGATTTCTCCGCCACACTCATAAGAGTTTCGCCTATAGACGCCATAATTCGTTTCGCTGAGGTTCTATGTCCGTTTCGACATCTTTTCTTTCGAGTCAACTCTTCTTTTTCGGCCATTGTTCAGGATTTATGTATCAGAATCTTTTCAATATGGCGGCTCAAATTCAGATGTATAAACTCACGTATTATTTTGTAATATCCGGCTCGGAAGGACCATGTAAAATATTTAGATTAAAACTCTCAAAGGACTCCTTTCTCCAAGGTTCAAGGCTCAACTCATGCGTGGTTCAGACTCATTAAAATATAAATAACACAAACTTTATTACAAAAACGCTGCCATATGAAAACTCTACGCTCGTCTCATTCGTATTCCATGTGTTCACAAAATAAACGTCATAGAATATTACGCAATCTCTGACAGCTTCTTTTTCAAATATTTTTGTCAAGACTAGGTTTAGAGTTTGAGTAAAGCTTATCTAACCAAAAATATTTGAAAGAGAAGCAGTCATATCTAGTATAGTAACATTGTTGGGTGATGTTGGTCCAACAATGTTGGATTCGTTTAAACAGGCCTTAAGGGTGAACAGTTGCAGATAAAACATTCTCTATTCTCATTAAAAAGCCTATAAAAGTTTCCAGTAGGTCTCTAGTCCAACAAGTTCAGACAAAGTTTTGTTACTTATTTTTATTGCACACATGGGAAACAACAATTAAGTGTTGTTGTTCTTGACAAACATTGAAGATTCTAATCACGCGAATGTTTTTATGAGCGACTGTTCATCGTTAGTTGCAAACGACGGTACAACATACTATGAACATTTTTCCGATTGTGACCGAATGTGCAACGATATATTTTTCAAAGTGGTTAACAATTCCTAAAATTTGTTTATAGTAAAACAGCCTGCTCAGCACTCACTACTCGCGATGATTTCATTTAGAAATGCAGTTACCAGGAAAGGAACTGATTCTAAAATATGTAAAATTAAAAGCATTGGCTATTACGATGTGAAGACAAGGTACAAACTTTTATAGTTGCTATTTGTTACAGGGTTGGCAAATGTTCTTATATTAGTTGTTCTTATATGTTCTTATATTATATAAGAATATTTTTTTGGGAGGCAAAAATGTTCTTATATTTTCTTATATTATTCTCATTGGTTATTCTACTTCGAAGTTGTAAATTTTAAATATTTGACATTCATCCTGAAAATAAGATATACAGATAATAGTCGTATAAATACAGCAGTGATAACTATTTTTATAGTTTTGAAAGCAAAGACGTTACAGCAACCGAGACAGCAACATCTAAAATTGAAGTTGAATCGTCATTTTAGGATTTTGGATGATGTCATAATATGACGTCATCAAAGTTTTTGAAAATGTTCTTATATTGCAAAAAATGTTCTTATATTAATATAAGAAATAAGAACATTTTATTTTTGAAAAAATGTTCTTATATCCAACCCTGATTTGTTATAAATCCTATAAATAAACCGATTCAACAATAATTTTGCCTCGAATTTGCATATTCTATGCTGCATGTTTATATTTTATTTTTATAGTATAAAAATAAAATTGTATAACTATGAAATAAAATACATTTCTGTTTATTGACCACTACTTATTTAATGTCTTCTTCATCCAGCAGTCAGAGTAAATTTCTACTTCTAGCAAGTAAATATTTGACAAGCAGTCTGGAATAAGCACAGGACTTTTAATGCATCAGCCAAATCCAAGTGTGCCCATCCCCCTCGCCCAGCCATTTTCCTGTAAAGCACATCCCGGGGGTTGGGCATTTCCACTCGAACCTTAGCCCCGGCAGGGCATTTGAAATTAATAATTTGGATTCTTGCACTTCACTTGTGGAATTAATATTAGAATGTTAGGGTTTGTAATCCAAGTGAGAATATATACATGTATATATTTTGTAATCCAAGTGAGAATATTTTGTAATCCAAGTGAGAATATACAAATGTACCGGTATATAGTACATGTATATATTTGGTGTATATATTTTGTAATCCAAATGAGAATAGTTTGTAATCCAAGTGAGAATATGCAAATGTATATATTCTCACTTGGATTACAAACCCTAACATTCTAATTTTAATTCCACCAAGTGAAGTGCAAGAATCCAAATTATTGAAGTCCACCTTGTCACAACCCGCACACCCGATTACCTAAATATACATGAACTTACGGTTAAAGCTCGACAGCTGGTCTCTTGTAGCTCAGTTGGTTAGAGCGCTGCACCGGAATCGCAGGGCCGTAGGTTCAATTCCTACCAGAGGACCTTGTGCTGCATTTTTCGCAGTCGTTCCTTGTTAGGTCTTCAAATGTATATATTCTCACTTGGATTACAAACCCTAACATTCAAATATTAATCCCAACAAGTGAAGTGCAAGAATCCAAATTATTGAAGTCCACCTTATCATAACCCGCACACCCGATTACCTAAATATACATGAACTTATGGTTAAAGCTCAACAGCTGGCTGAGCTGTAGCTCAGTTGGTTAGAGCGCTGCACCGGAATCGCAGGGCCGTAGGTTCACTTCCTTCCATAGGACCTTGTGCTGCATTTTTCGCAGTTGTTCCTGGTTAGGTCTTAAAATGTATATAAAAATTATTCTCACTTGGATTACAAACCCTAACATTCTAATATTAAGTCCACCAAGTGAAGTGCAAGAATCCAAATTATTGAAGTCCACCTTATCATAACCCGCACACCCAATTACTTAAATATACATGAACTTACGGCTAAAGCTCAACAGCTGACCTCTGTAGCTCAGTTGGTTAGAGCGCTGCACCGGAATCGCAGGGCAGTAGGTTCAATTCCTACCAGAGGACCTTGTGCTGCATTTTTCGCAGTCGTTCCTGGTTAGGTCTTAAAATGTATATATATTCTCACTTGGATTACAAACCTAGCTAACATTCTAATATTAAGTCCACCAAGTGAAGTGCAAGAATCCAAATTATTGAAGTCCACCTTATCATAACCCGCACACCCGATTACTTAAATATACATGAACTTACGGTTAAAGCTCAACAGCTGGCCTCTGTAGCTCAGTTGGTTAGAGCGCCGCACCGGAATCGCAGGGCCGTAGGTTCAATTCCTACCAGAGGACCTTGTGCTGCATTTTTCGCAGTCGTTCCTGGTTAGGTCTTAAAATGTATATATTCTCACTTAAAATGTATATATTACAAACCCTAACATTCTAACCCTAACATTCTAACATTTGAAATTAAGGATAATTTGGAGGTTTTGCGATCACCGACAACTTGATAATTTTATAAAACAAAACACTTCTATCTCCAACTTTTACAATCACTGATAAATTGATAATAATTTAAACCAGTCTAGCTGTAGTTTAAATAGAGAATAATAAATGGGTGCACGAAATACCAGATTTATTTCGAGTGTTGAACATGAGTGTGCAGCGAACAAGTGAGCGCAGCGAACAAGTGAGCGCAGCGAACAAGTGAGCGCAGCGAACGAGTGAGATGTCATGTTCAACACAAAAAATAAATCTGGTATTTCCAACCACCCATGTATTTTTCTGTTTATTATATAAAGGACAGTCTTAAATGAAAAGCGATAATGTTTACAGAAAAGCGATAATTGAAAAGGCGATAAATTTTTACATGTGAGATTATCATGAATAATTTCACATCTGAGATTATCATTTTTGTCAGTGCTCGAAAACTCTGCAAAACACTATATTTTATATAATAAAAATTCATAAATTTGAACCATGCTAGAGCATGACAACAGCAAAATGCTCTATAGTATGATGCACAATATTTTGGGAGGTGATCGAAATACACGAACAATAAATCAGAGAGTGTTTGCTTGGAACTCACTGGGGGGGGGGGGCAACACCCCTGATTATTGCTCATGATGAATTTCAGGTAGATTTCCAGTGCA